AGTGAGGGTTAGGAGGCAAGAAAGCTCAGGGCTTAGGAAGAGTTGCTAGGAGCAAGGGACAAGAATTCAGAATCTCCTGCACAGTTTGTCCGTCTCACACCACCCCGTTGCCATTTTCTCAAGGTTCAAGGCAGGATCCAATATCCCTGAGAGGAAGAAACTCAACCTCTGGGACCAGCCACTACCTGAGTGTAAATAATACAGAAGCTGCCTCTTCTGAGGAGGCTCAACTTTCCTTGGCCAACCCCCTTCTCTGCCTGAGGCTGGAAAGGATCTGAAACCCAACCACCTCCACCTAACAACTCCTGCCTCCTGGGAAAAAGAATCAGCCCATCATGGATTTTTCATATAGGAGATCCCACACTACCATCTCTTCCTCAGAATGCTGATCAAAACACTGTCAGAAACAGGAAGGCTCTCAGGAGCCCTCAAGTCCAAATACTTCGTCAAATAGAAAAAAAAAGGGATTTATGGAAGATGTTACAATCACGGAAGCTTTAACACAGAAGTCCAAGCTGCCCAACTCTCAGACCAGGGCCTCCTTCCATCCTAGGCCCATTTCCCCATTTTAAAAAGGATCAGAAACAAAAATACAAGAGATCATACACAAGGGTAGGGTCAAGACTAGAATCTGTTTCTAGGCTGATACCCTACTGCGGTCAAAAAGGACTAATGTCCTCCAGGCACCTCTCTCCCCAAATACCATGAAAAAGATGCTGCCACGTGGTCTATGGCACAGAAGGAAACTGGGATCAGAGCAGATGTGGCCAGAAGCACACAGGTATGAAGAGTTCTCACCAGACTGAGTGAAGGAAGTAGCTCGCAGTTCCAGGATACACTCCTGGCTGCTAGCCTGGTCAGTGGGACAGATGCAGATCCCCTCACCATATGCACCCTCAATCATTCCCCGCCCCATCTTCAGCCTCCTAATCACCTTGTAGATGTTCAAAAGGTGCTTCTGTATTTAAAGTGATGAGAGGGCCACAGAGACATAGATACCCACAGGTGCTTGAGACATTCAAAGATGCCACCGAGATCAAAGAGCGCAAGGTCTATCTCCTCCCAAGATAAGTGCCCACTGGCACATCAAACTTCCTCTTCCCTTCAGGAATCCAGGACCCCAAACGGGCCCAGCCCTACCTCCCCTCTGCTCCAGGGGAAACATGGATCCCGAACCAGTGGGCTCAGTCTTACACCCTTACAAATGGACAGACATCTTCTCACCCAGGTTCTTCCCTAATTCTCATCCCTTCTCTGGAGAGAATTCACTGATGTACACCCACCCCCCCCCCAGTTATGCTACAAGTCCACCAGAAAGATGCAGAGCTTAGTTTTGGAGGAAAGAACTCTGGGCTCACAAGCTCAACTAGGGCCAGGAGATCCCTGAACTGATTTAAGACAACTGCTGCAGACGATCTGAAGTCCCTAAGGGATAGGCGCTGACATCTTCTGAAGTCAGGGGGACCAGAATGGCTAAGCACCATTTCTGGTTCTGACACTGATTCCAGATCACCTAAGATGATAAGCTGAAAGACAGAAGCCCTGGGTTCAAGTCTTCGCCCCACTTAGCTGGGTGACGTTGGCAAAATCCTTGCCTCTTTCTCTTCAAGGTAAGGTGACTTGACAAGTCTAGCTCCCATCCTCCTAGCAAATGGCAAACTTGAGAAGGACGGCAGATATCATATCATCTAGTCCATCTCCCTCAAGAAAAGGAAGAGGGATAAGGCTCAGAGAGGAACCATCACTTGCCCAAGGTTACATAGCTAGTGAGCAGTAGAACCAAGGCTCCAACCTAGACCTTTCCCCATTGTAAACATTCCTTCTGAATGGGACCACTCAGCTGACATTCAGCTTCAACCTGGATGTGCTGTATAACCTTGGGACAAGTCTCTGCCACTCTCTGGATAGCAGATTTTCCCCTCTCTAAAATGTGACTGGAAGATTAAACCTTGATCGCTAGCTCCAGAACCTAGAAACAGGTGATGTTGGGTGTGGGAAAACAGAACCACTAGGCTGTGGCCACAGGGGAGATGTGAGGCCCAGCTGAAGGAACCTATGAACTGAGGCAGAAAAAGAAGGGAAGGAAGTGGTCCTAGTCCTTTCCAGCTCCTAGTCCCAGGGAACTGGGTCAGTAGGGTTCCAAAACCACAGAGAGGGAGGTTTGGCATAGTTCCACACCCTGCTTAATTTCAGGACTTCTTTAGGGAGTCTGTTGGTGAGACTAGGATCAAAGTATTTGGGTTCATTTCCCTATTTTGCCCCATGACTGCCTATTGGACTACTATGGACAAATCCTTCTGCTTCCTTAGACCTCAGTTTTCTCATCTCTGTGAATGAAAACACTTTGGACTTGTTCCCTAGAGTTGAATTCAACTCTGTTCTGTGTCCCTGGCTCCCTCAGAGACTTTGAGTGAGGCTTTCCTTCTCCTCTCTGGGGATAGTTCCTCTTTCCTGAGCCGGAAATAAATTCCTGTGACTGCTTTAAAGAGAGGGTTCAAGGGGGTAAAGGGATCCACAAGTGGCCCCCTAAAGAAGAAAGGGCCAGTTTGGAAAGAGTATTCGCACAGGACAAAGGCAGAGGTGCTATCAGTAGAGGTGAAGGAGACACCAAGCTTTGTAGGGGGAGACTCTAACTTTAGCCAGCTTCAAGGAAAGGGTAAACGAGGAAAGAGGTTCAGATACAACGGACTGATCAGACATTTCAGGGATATCTGGAAAAGAAGGAAAAGACTTCTCTCTAGAGAAGAGAGTAGACAGGTGGACCTGGCTCTCCAAAACAGCATGAGAAAACGGTTACCGGGCAAAAACACCAGATAAAGAGGGAGAAAATAAATCTCTCCGGATTGCCTATTACGGAGACAAAACCCCAAAGAAAAAGACCAACAAGTAAAATAAACCGGGCCCTGGGGATCAAGAAGAAGCATAATCCGAAGAGAGTAGAACCAAAATAAAGTTCCAAACGAAAAGGAGAAAAAAACCTGAAATACGGGACGGGGAACCAGCCAGTCTCCTCTCACACTCGCTGGCTCGCCCACGTGCTGAGGAAATGTTTGTCTGGGGGGGAGAGCAAGACCTTAATTCGCCCCTTGCCTAGTCGGAACCCTCTCCTTCCAAGAGAAAAGGAGTCTCTTCCGAAGCAATCAAAGCATCCCCGAGGGAGGGGGAAGGGTGTCCGGACAAAGCCGGATAACGAACTTGACCCTCCCCACGCATTCCCCGGTGACCGACAAAGAACTCCAAGCACCGGATGCGCCCCCCCCCCAAGTAACAGGGCATGGCGCTTGGCCGAGCCCTCGCCGCAGCCCGGAGGGACGGAGGGGGAGCCGTAGGGTCCGTAGGCTGGCACCTTCGCCCAGCCGGAAGCCCCAAGACATCTCCAAGCGCCCCTTGCCCCTGGAGCGGAAGGGGAGGGGGCGGGAAGGGAGAACGGTCTGGAGCCAAGGCAGTGGGCCGACGGGGGAGACAGGGGTCGGGCCGGGCCCAGCCCACTAACAGCCCCTCCACGTGAGGGGGAAGCCCCCGCCGCGGCCATTTTGGGAACAAAGGGGGCGTGGAGGAGGAACAGGCAGCCACCGGAAACGGAAGTGGGCAGCAGGGAACGAGGAGGGAGCGGGAGGGGAAGAGAAGGGGGTGTGTAGTTGGGGTGGGGGGTGGGGGATCCTGGCCGGCCAGGGCACCGGGCAAAGCCCCAGGTCTCGGCCAAGACCCCCGGACCCGCGTGGGCCCGAAGCGGGTACGCGCGGCGGTCACGTGCAAAGCGCGGTCACATGGCGCGGCGGGAGGCGCGCGCGGGGGTCACGTGGGGCGCCGGACCGGGAGGGGGAGGGGGAGGTAGCCGCGCGGGCTGAGGGAAGAAGGGACCCGGAGGGAGGGAAGGAAGAAGTGACGGAGGCCGGTAAGGCCGCCGAGGCCAGGACTCACCCTGCTTGTTCTCGTTGAGCTGCCGCTCGAACTCGTCGAAATCGGACATGCTGAGGGGCGGCCGGCCGCGGCCCGCGTTCACGCCTTCTCCCCCGTCCCGTCCCCCCCCGCCTGGCCCGGCCTGGCCTGCCTCGCCTGCCCTCGGCGCCGCCTCGCCCACTTCCGGCGCCCGCCTCGCCCGCTTCCGGCCCCCGCGCAGGCTCCGCCCCCGGCCCCGCCTCCTACTAGCTCGAGGAGGGGCCTGAGTCCTTCGGCTTTTTCCGGAACGCTTCGGCCGCTTCCGGCTTCGCCCGGCCGAACACACCGCACGACCTCTGCCTCAGCGGCTCCTGAGTTCTGGCCGGGAGGCGCCCCCTCCTGTCCCGGCCCGCGAGACCGCACAGGCCTTGACGGAGGAGCCTCGAGTTTGCCCCGGAGGTCGAAGGCGGACGGGCGCGTCGTGTTCCCCTGCTGGCCCCAGCGACCGCGCGGCCCCCCCCTCCGGCTTTCGGCTCTTTCCGGAGGCACTCGGGCCTGGCTTCGGCTCTTTCCGGAGGGGCACCTCCGACTCCCGCCTCTGGGCTCCCTCCGTTTCGACTTCCTCCGGCTTGGGCGCGGCTCGCGAGAGGAGCCGAGGGCGCCGACTGGTAGGCCGCGGATCGCCGCGCTGCCGTGGAGCCTGGCCGGGGGCGGGGCCTCTGTGCGCCTGTGCTGGCTGCCCCGCGAGGTTAAGCCGGACCTAAGCTACGCCTGCGCCAGAGCGGGTGGACGGGGAGCCAGGGATACCGCGCAAGCGCAAAGTGAGGCAAGCCAATGGGGAGAGAGGGCGAAGGCAACGCCTCCCTTGTCCCCGCCCTCACTCGCCAGCACGCACGCGCACTTTTGTCCCGCTAAAGCCGACTGGTCCGGAACCAGTAAGACTGTTACCGCGTTACCCTTGCGTTTGCCGTCGCCTTAGAGACGGCCGACCAGCCAGCGTGGCGCATGCGTCGCAGCCTTGAGATGGGCAAGCTCTCCCTGGAGTAGGGGACGTGGAGGGAGCTCGGCTCGTTCCCTCCGCCGCCCCCTCTCCCCCACAGCCAGAACCAAGGCCGAGGTTATTCCAATCTGCTGGTTAACTTTTAATTTAAACTCTGAACACTTTATTTTATCTGTTGGCCCCCGGCCGGCGGCTGGTGCTTCAGAGAGGGGGCGCTCCCTGGCTCTGTGGCACACCCTCCGTCTCCAGCGCAGGCCCCCGCAGCGGGCTCACTCGGTGGTCGGGGAGGAGAATCCCGACGTTCTCACCCAGGAGTCCAAGCCCCATCATTCCAGACTCGCTCGAGGTCACACAGTGACCTAATGAGAGCACCTCGTCCCATCTGCTCCATTGTTACAATTCAAGAGACCAAGGTCTCAGCCACCTTAGAAATCATCGAGTTTAACTCCCTTATTTTCAAAGAAGGAAACAGGCCTAGAGAAGGGAAGGGAAGTGAGTCATACCCAGAGAGGGGACGAGAAGCCAGGTCTCCGTATCCCCATCAATGGTTCTTTCAATGGCTCCCTTGTCCTAGCTCCAAAGGCAATGAATGACGCCTGGCCACTTGGTGCATCCCTGCGGACACTCCCTAGTCTCTAGGTTCGGGTCAAGGAGATCTGAACTGGAATAGAGGAACCCAGGCCAGGGCAACAAGGGTGGGAAACAGAGGCTGATATCACGAAAGGCCAAAGGGGGAGATGTTCAGTAAATATATACATACATACACATTGCCTTCCCGTCTCCACCAGAGGATAGCGAGGGATGAGACAGGAAGCCCCACCCTCTTCCACCTGGAACCACATGTAAACACACCACTCAACGTGCACTCACACCCAGCACCCTCGCCTGCTGCAGGGGTGGTGCTGAAGGGATAGAAGAGGGAAGGGCAGGATCCCACCCAAAATCTGAGCATTGTGGGGCTCCTTGAGGACTGGTTGGGCAAGGTGCAATGGTAAATGACGCATTAGTTGGATCTGAGACGTCGTTGGCAGGAGAACCAGAATGGGGCATTAGGGGTCTCCTGGTTGAGAAAGGACGGCATGGGATATGAGCCAACCACTGCCCCTGGAGGCCACCTCAAGAGCACAGCTAAAAGGATTGTCGCTCGGAGAACCTGCTTCTAGAAGAAGCAGAGGAGAGAGTCACGTGGTGGGCAGCCAGGTGGCTCACCACGCGAAGGCCGACAGCCGCTCTGGGGGGATCTGGGCAGAAGTGTGACGGACCATGAAAAAGAAATGGCAAGGGTCTGCTTCATGAACGGGGAGGTGACGGGCCCGGCTGGCTTGGGCATCCAGGCCCAAGAACCATAAGGCTGATGCAGGGTGGAGGGAGAGAAGGCAGGTGACGGGCAGCAGCTGGCTTGGGCATACGGTGGGGGCGGGACTCGGGATCACCGCTTGAAGCGGTATGTGATAGGCAGTAGTAACTTGCTTTTCTTGAGAGCCTGCACCTTCTTCAGCGTCTCGTCATCCAGCGCCAAGAAACATCGGCGGGAGTATTCCAGCAGCCGCTCCTTGGATGGGTCAAACTCGCCCACCTCAGCCAGCTTCTCAGGAGCCACAATGAGCAGCTCGGCGATGGGCGTGGTCAAGGCCACCGTGTTCCGGTCCACCCGGTGGTGCTCAAAGGCCCTGGACATGCTCTTCAGCTTCTGAAAGGTGCCCAAGATCTTCTTGTACCGGCACAGCACCCCATCAGCGTCCTTCACTGTGGGCCCCAGAAAGGCACAGTCAGTGAGGGCCTCAGAGACGCAGGGGGTGGAGCCCAAGCACCCACTCCTCACTAGGTGACCCCCCCAGGGGTCTGATGCCTGGCCATCGGTGTAGGGGGGACACCTGCTCGCCCCAGAGAGGAGGGCATGGCTCTCTCTACCACCTCTAAGAACCCAGAAAGGCTACAAAGCTCTGGGGAGGGAGGGCGGGCCTCTTCTCCCCATATCACAGAGGAGAGCTGATCCTACAGCTCCTGAGGACCAGAGGTGGGATGCGAGCCCTGGTATCTAGGCTCCGAGGCCGCCCGTGAGGCCACCTCTGAGTCAGGGACAGTGCCAGGACTGAACCCAGGCATCCGGACCCCAAACATGGACCTTTCCCATTCAACGGGGGGCTCTAGGGCTCACAGCTGAGCACAGAGGGAAGAAGGCAGAGCCTGCCCAATGCAGCCCTGGCTGCTGGTGGGGGCATCCCTGCTAGGGAGGAGGGCACAGACTGCCATATGCTGGGATCCCTGACAATTCTGGAGGGAGGTGGCTTAGCTAGGAGGCAAGGGACTAAGCATTTTTTAAGCACCTACTAAAAGTCGGGCACTGTGCTAAGTGCTTTACAAACAGTATCTTATTTAAGCCTCCAACACTATTATTATTCTCATTTTACAGTTGAGGAAATGGAGGCAAACAGAGGTAAAGTGACTTGCCCAAGGTCACACACTTCTGGGGCTGGATTTGAACTCAGGTCTTCCCACCTCTAGGCCCAGCACTCTTTCCTGTGCCAACTAGTTACCTAGGGGTCAGAAAAGACAGGGGGCTGGACAGCCAGAGGCTAGGGATCTCAGAGAGGACAGACACGTGCATCCACCAGACAACCCAATCATCTGCTCCACCACCCCTGTCATGCCTCCTCTGTCCATATTCCCAGCTACTCCCCCTAGGTCCCTTGACATTCACCCCTCTGCCTCTCCCGGGCCTTGGGCTTCCCGAATCTCCTCCGGCCAGCCGCCCCCTTCTGCTTCTGGCGCTTTCTCTCAGCGGAACCCCCCTCCTCGGAGCCACCACTGAGGGATGAGGCCGCCGACTCCGGGTCTGAGGCCTCCCCTCCGCCCCGGCCATCCGCGCCCTCTGCCCTCCTGGGGCCAGGCTTCCCCCGATAGTGGTCCTCTGGAGATGGGAAAGGAGACAAGGAGAGACAAGCAGAAGGACAGAGGGGCTGGGTGCCCTCGCCTTCAAGGGCACAGCTTGGCCTCTGGCCTCCTTCCCTCCAGCTCCCTGAGCCTGGCTACTACCTGCATCAATGCGGGCTGAGGAGATGAACTTGTCCAGCTGACAGCGAAGGAAGTCCCTCTCTTCCTCCAGGTCCTCAATTCTCTTCTGAAGCCACGAGTTCCTCTCCAGGGCCATGTGAAGCTGAGTTTTCACGCTGTTCATCAGCGCCAGGGTGGGGGACGTGGGCTCCGGGGGCTCTGAGGGAAAGGGCCCAAGGAGAGTGAGGAGGGCAAGGTTGTCCAGGCTGCTCCCCCAGCCCTCCTCCCCCGGCCCTCGGGCTCACCCTCAAAGCTGCCCTGGGGTGGACTCAGGCCATAGAAGATCTGGGGTGACTCTAGAGGAGGGGTCTCATTGAATGGGATTGAGATCTCAAAGCCCTCCTCATCCTTCTTCACTGGAAGGGAAGAAGGAGATAAGACAGGGAGAAAGACAGCTTCCTTACTCCAGAGGTCCCAGGACACCCTCTCCCCCCTCCCCGCCTTGAGGCCCAGGTGCCTCCCCCTGCCCACCATGCCAAAATGACAAGGCTGATACCCACCCCTCCCCCCAGCCTCCCCTTATTGCTGGTGCTGTGGGGTCCCCAGGAAGGGGGTAGGGCTGCTCACTTGTCCGCCTCCGGCTGTTTCTCTCATTCATGACGCAGCCTCGGCCGGACCCAGGCGTCCCGGCGCCTCAGGGGCACTGGATGAAAGACCGGCCACAGGTGAGCTGCGGAGGTGGGGCAGGGGGAAGGGGAGGGGCGGGGGACTCAGGGCTCCGGAGCCGCTGGAGCGGGGCACGGCGAGCAGCCTTGCCTGGCCTGGGGTACTTGGGACAAGAAGGGAGCGATGGCCTTGGGCTAGGGCCCGGGACAGTCCCCACGCCAGCCCAGGCATCCCTCCTCCCCTGCAGCCCAGGCGCCCCACGTAACCTTCCCGGCACACGCGTAGACCTCCGCCCCCCCCCATTGTCCCACGCAGGTGTGGGGCAAAAGCCGCTGGAGCATGAGCCCTGGCGGGGGAGGGGAAGGGGCGCGTCCCGCGTGGGGCTCCCCCTCCGCCCCCGCCCTTTGTCCCACGGGGCCCCCGGGGCTCGGAGCGGGGTTAGGGATCGGGGACGCAGCGGGGCCCAGGGCTGGGCCTGAGGTCCGACCGTTCTCCTCTTGTCCTTAGACCCCCACCCCCCGCCCACGGTCCCGCGCTCACCCACCCGCGCAGAGCAGACTCCAGCCCTGGGAGCAGCGGCGGCGCCCATGCCCAGCTTCGGGGACCGTCTACAAAGTACCACCGGCGCGGGGGGCGGAAGCAAGTTCCCCGCACCCAGCCCACGCCACACCGCTCTCCGCGCCGCGCGCGAGCGGAGCAGCGTGAGCACGCCTCCGCACCGGGAGGAGCCAGCCAGGCGTGCCCTTCGGACCTGGGAGGCGGGCCGAAGCTGGGCCCGCGTGGGGCGACACGGGAGCCATAGGGGGTGGGGGAGAGGGACTTGCGCCATGGAATGAGTTGTGCACTTGCGTGACGGGCCCCGGCGGCCTCCTCTCCAAAGCACCACCCCCTCCCCTTCGCGGCGGCGGCGGCGGCCCCTGGGCGGGCAGGGACCCTCATCAAATTCCTGAAGCTGTGACCTCGAAGAGGACCAGGAAGGGGGCGGGGGCGGGAAGCGCCAGGGGCCGCGGGAAAATTGTGGACTTTATGAAACGTGGAGGGATTTCTCCTCTCCCCCGCTCGTTTTCTCCAAGTAGGGGCTGGGGTTTTGGTAGATGCTACCCAACCTCGTATCTTCATGTAGTCCATCTCCCTCTTTTAACAGGCGAGGAAACTGAGGCCCAGAGAAGGGAAGGGACTTGTGTCAAGGTCACTGTGGCACATGCTGGCCTCCCAGGCGACATTCGAACCCACAACTCCAGAGGCAGTACCTTACATTGCCCCACCCTGTCTCTCGCAGAGCAGAGAGGCACTCCTCCAGCCTGACCCAAAGCCCCTCCCTCCCTCGGAGGCCGGCTCCTCACCCGCATCGGTCCCAGGAGCCCCTTGGTGACTTGTAGCCCTCCTGGCATACCCCCAGCAGCTCTGGACCCGTGACCAAATCAGAGCGCCAACCATTCCTGCAAAGAGATTGTCGTGGGCCCCCCAGCCCCCTTCTCGGTGTGCCGTCTGTATCCCTCGAGCTCAGCACAGTGTCTGCAGCGCTTAATAAATGCACGTTCGTGTGTTCTTTTATTCCAAAATAGGGAGATGAGACTGTTTTGAACCCAGATTCCGACTCCAATCCAGCCCTTTCCCACAGTACCACGAGGCCCCACCCGACAGCAGAGCCCACCAAGATATTAAGGCGGCTTCCGTCCAGACCCCGAGCTCCCAGCTGAGATGCAATGTTACCCACACACGAGGTGGGAGCCTCAGAGCCAGCGCCAAGCCCCCGATATTCTGCTCCAGCAGTCCTATCCACTGGAAGCCCTTCGGGCCCAGCCACAGAGGAGGGGAACCACTTCCGATGGTCACGTGGTCCCCAAGGAGCAGAGCCAGGAAGGCCTCCACACTGGCACCCTGGGTGCTGAGAGAGCTCCACCCTTCTTAGGCAGAAGGGCCGGAGGACCAGCCGCCAATATCTGGGAACAATACACTTTTCTCAAACACCAATCTTGAGGCTCCCCACTGAAAACTCACTTTGCATTTATTCTGCAGCCCTTGGGGGGGGTTCCTCCTACAAGACAGAGGAGACTTCCCCATCTCCGCCCCAGAACCAGTTCTAGGGGATCCTCAGCTACTGCTGTGGGACCTGGCAGCCCAGTGCTTCCTTAGCCGGGGGTGGGGGTGGAACTGAGGATCCCCTAGCTTGTAAGACACTCCAGAGATGGCCATGAGAAGACAGACCACTCATGCTCTACTAAACCCGCTCTCCAGGCGGCCAAGTCAAGTTCAAACTGCACCAAGTGCTCCCTCTGGGGCAGGAAGGGCTGGCCAGCCCCTCGGAGATGCACCTCTGAGGCTGGGGAAGTGCAAACTTGAGCTGGAAGGGACATTAGAGGTCATCTTAGTCTGACCCCCTCGTTTCAGAGAGGAGGAAGCTGAGGGGCAGAGCCGTGACCAGCCAAGGGCTGACTGCAGTTCCAGGCTCCTGGTCGGTGTGTGTCCACAGGTCCCACCCTATGTCCCTGATGCTGGAGGGCAGTGTCTGGGGCACAAGGGCCTTCCCCAGCCCTGTCATGGGTGCTTCCTCCTAGTGTGTCTCTGCAAGGTGTTTCTCTCACTGAATCGCCGAGGGCAGTGAGGGCACTGGAAGGGCCGCTCCCCCGAGTGTACTCGGCTATGCTGGGCCAGCTCCCCAGCATCTCGGAATCGTCGGGGACACAGGGGACACGCATGCGGCCGGCCGCCCCCCACCCGGTGTGTGGATCGGTGTCGGGCCAGGTGGCTGGCCCGCTTGAAGGCTTTCCCACAGACAGCGCAGACGAAGGGCTTGAGCTCTGAGTGTGAGACACTGTGCCTCTGCAGATAGGACAAGTATTCAAAGACCCGGGAACACACAGGGCAGCTGTAGCATTTTCGGGAGGTGGATCCCGCAGATACCTCCCCTGTGGGGGCCGCAGCTTCCTCTTCCACTAGCACTGTGTAGGGGACGCCCTGCGTGTCAATGAGGAGGTATCGGCCAAGCCTGGATGGTTGTCCGGAAGCCTCGGGGGTGGATGAGGGGCCTGGTTCAGGGGAAGGGGATGCCTGGGGGGGGGGAGGTTCCATGGCCACCGCCCACGAGGATGGGAAGGGCTGTGAGTGGGGGCTGCCTTCATCCACTCAAGCAAGGAGAGCCTGCAGAGAGAGAATGGCCGCCCGCATCAGCCCTCTGGTCCTCGAAAGATCCCCCTAATGTCAGCAACCCCTCCCCAGCAGAGTTCAAGCTGATTGAAAGGGACCTAAAAGCTCAGCCAGCCCAGTCCCCTTGACTTTACAGATGAAGAAAATGGACCAGAGACCTTACAAATCCTGTCCCAGAAGCTCAGGCAGAACTTGAACCCACTTTTTGAACTTGGAACTCCCTAGTTTCTCCCCTCCAAGGCCTCCCCCAGCTCTCCATCACCTCCCTGCCCCGCCGCCTTCCAACCCCAGGTGGGCTTCAGTCTCTCTCGAGTAGTTGCCCCCACCTGCCCAGGGCGTTCTTTCCTCTCTCCTAGCCCCGCCCCTCCCTATCCCCCAAGGCTCCCCTCCCCCAGCATTCCTTTAGTCCCGCCCCTCTCCATCCCCCAATACCTCCTTAGTCCCGCCCCCTCCATCCCCCAGGGCTCCCCTCCCCAGCACCCCCTTAGTCCCACCCCCTCCATCCCCCAGGGCTCCCCTCCCCCAGCCCTCCCTAGCCCCGCCCCTCTCTACCCCACCCGGCTCCTTCCCTTCCCCCCCTCATTGGCCCCTGTAGCCCCGCCCGCCCTCTCGATGCCCGGAGCCCTACTCGGTGCAGCTGCTCGAGGACGGGGTCCGAGGTCCAGGCCTGGCCACCCCCCCCCCGGGTCTGGCGACGTCGGGGGGATGGGAGGGGGCGCGGATGGACGTGGGGGGCGGCGGGAGGGATCAAGCGAGGGGGCGGGGCGCCAGCAGCCGGAAGAGCTCCGGCCGGAAACCGCGTCCGCGGGAGGAAGGTTCCGAGGGCATGGGAGGGTTCCCCCCCCCAACTCGGCAGCCGTGCGCATGCGCGCTTAAATCCCGCCCGCAAGTAAATGACGTCAGATCCAGGAGCGTTTATTGAAAGGAAAGAGATACAAAGCCAGGGACCCAAGATTACGTCCCTCCTGCACAAAAGGATTCGGGGTGCTCAGAGATCTCACACCCACCCCCCCCTTAACTGACAAAGCGAGAAACTGAGGCTCAGACAAGGGCCGGGCTAGGGTCCCGCCGCAAGCCCCGGGGACCCAGGATTCCAATCCTGCTCCGGCCAAGCCCTCCACAGACGGCCCGGGGGCCTGTCCCTCACCCAGCTGGCGCTCCGCAGGGGGGACCCCCGAGCTCTGTAGTAAGGCTGTCCAGGGGCTGAGGAGGGAGGGTCTCCCACATGGTCAGATTTACGGCCGGAAGGGGCTTGGGGAGCATTTGCTCCAACCCCCGCCCCCGCTGCAGGGGCCTGGGATCGCTGACGGGAAGCGAAGCCAGGACCTCCGCCTCCCAGGCAGGCTCCGCGCCGCGTTTCCATCCCCACCTAGTGGCCCCCGAAATGCTGCGCCAGCTCCCCGGCGTCGCGGAAGCGCTGTGGGCACAGCGGGCATGCGTGGCACCGGCTGCCCCCGGGCTGGTGCACGGCGCGGTGGCGGGACAGGTGGCTAGACCGCTTGAAGGCCTTCCCGCAGGCCCCGCAAACGAAGGGCTTGAGCTCCGAATGGGAGACGCGGTGGCTCTGCAGTCTGAGGGCGCTGTCGAACACGCGGCCGCACTCGGGGCAGCCGTGGCGCTTCCGAGGGGGCGCGCAGCCCGGGCCGCGCTCGCCTCTGCCGGCCTCCCCCGCGGGGCCCGGCTCGTCCTGCACCAGAGCCGTGTACGTGTAAGGGACCCCGTTGGCGTCAATGAGCAGGAACCGGCCCGGCCCGGGCGGAGGGGACACGGGCGAGCCCGGAGGGGCTGCCTTCGAAGGAGGGGAATCCATGGCTTTCTCCTGGGAGGAGGAGGGGTGCTGGGGGCAGCAGCTGCATCAGGACTGAGCACCGGTGCCCAGGAGGCCTGTTGGGGCAGACAAAAGACCACGGAGAAGCGCTTAACGGCCTCCAAGCCCGCAGGGCCGGCCTCCTTCCTGGTCTCTGACCCAGGAGCTGCATCCCTTCCACCCTGGTCGGACTGCATGGGCCCTCTGCTCAGAAAGACTCCTCATCGCCCCTAAGGGCAGTCACCCACGATCAAACGTGAACCCCTCCTGGTGCCTTTCTCAGTGTGCCGTCACACAGAGCTTCCCCTCGGGTCCAAGGGCAGCTCTCTGTCCTTGGGCACCTCCTGCTCTGGCTAGTCCGGACCACTGAGCTCTCTGCACCCCGCTGCCCAAACCGACGGTGTTTTTTCTTTCCTAAGGTTTCTGCTATGTCCCTTCCAAACTCCCAGTCCATTTCTCTGCCAGAGGGACAAAGTCTTCTCATCACGCCCCCTTTGCGGTGATCTCCAGGATGGACTCCCCCATGCCAAAGGGCTCAGTCAAGGCGTGAGGATTACCCTTGCTAAGTGGAGGGGCCAGGGGCTGTGGAGCTGGCTGGACCTAGACAGCAAGGAAGTGAACTGAGGCCTGACACTGCCCAAGGTCACCCAGTCACTACAGAGCATACCACATTCAAGTCCTCCTGCCCCCAGGGAGCCCCACACTCCTGTAACTCAAAGCCTGCCTCTCCCAGCCCCTCCACTTCTTGCATCCTGCCCACCTCCACTCCATTCTACTACTGATCTACTTCTCTCTGTGAGAGTCTGGCCTCTTCTCCCTTGGCTTTCCCCCATCCTGTGTCCCTCTGACTCCATTGTCTCCTATCTAAAGAGGCTCTCCAACTTTGACCCCCTTCTGTTCCCTGAATGACCACTCAACTACAAGGCCTTTCTAGCTAAATCTTTCCCAGCCCCAGGGTTTTTCTCCCCTAATTCACAACTATAAGGCTTCCTCAGGTGGTCTCTCCCCACTTCCCTCTCCAGGGTCTCCCTATCCCCTCTTCTGACACCCCCACATATCTCTCCCCACTCTCCCTTTTCTGGAGGCCCCATTTTTCTCTACAGCCTCTAAGAACTGGAATCACCATCCTTCACCACTGACTTAGCTGTCCTCCACTCTTCTCCCTCCTTCCCATCTACCCCCAAGAGCACAAAAGGAGCTTCCCTTCCCAGGAGTGGACCCTAAGGGCTCCTGGGCCTAGCCCTGGACAGGAAACCACTGCAGTGGGACTGTCCAAGAAGCGGAATCTCCCCTAGTTCTAATGTGAACTCTGGAAGCGCAGAGTCTGGGAGAGCAGGCTGGTGGGAGTGCCTGTCTACAAGTATTTATTAAATACAAGGCATTTTGCTTAAGAACAGCAAACACTTCCAAGCTCTATTCCACACCCTCTTGGAATCATCCTAGAAGATCAGTATGACTGAAAGATGGAAGGCCTTAGAGATCTGCAGAAGTGGAAACTGAAAGCCCAGAATATGACTGGCCTCAGTTCCCACAACCGGTAAGTGGCAAAGACAGGCCTTCAGATTTCAAATTCGATGCTCTTTGCATTTGAATATAAGCTCTTTGAGGGCAGGGAGTATCTTTGCTTTTGTATTTGTATCCACAGTACCCGGGCACATAGTAAGTGCTTAATAAATGATCTTTCATCCGTTCTACTTTCTGAATGTACAGCTACGGTCACATCATTCCTCTATCAAAAACACTTCAGTGGCTGTCCATGACCTATAGGGTAAAATATAAACTCCTGATCCTGGCATTCAAGGCTCCCCACAACCTGTATCCAAATTAGTTCTCCAGCCTTATTTCAGTTTAGCTCCCCTCACATCCTGTATGCTCCAGCCAAATTAGGCAGCTGGCACTTTCATCCAATGTCCATCATGTCTGGCCTCATTTCCATACATTGTTTTCATGTCGTCCCTTAATTAAAATCAATCCAATGATTACTCATTAAGTACTTATTCACCATGCAGTTTGCTATATGCTGATGTTGGGGATACACAGACAAAAACAAGAGTCCTTGCTTTCAAAAAACTTACATTCTGTCACTCCATGCCTAGCATGGACTCAGCAAGGTGCAATGGCAAAAAAAAAAAAAGAATCTTGGAGTCCGAGGATGTGTTTTTGAATCCTGAAACTGTTACTTAATATCAGTGTCTTCAAGGAAGTCATGTAACCTCCCTGAAACTCAGTTTGCTCATCTGCAACGTGAGAGTGTTGGACTAGATGGGCTCTAAGGCTCCTTCTGGCTCTGCATCCATGACTCTCCTTCCCCTATTATGGTCTGCTAAAGTCCCACTTTTCCTTCAGAGATTAGCTCACAGGTCACCTCCTCCAAGGAGTCTTCCCTGATCCATCAGGGCTTCCTCCCAGCCCAAATGGGCCCTGGAGCTCAATGTCTGATTTCTCTTCTCCTTTGCTCACTCCTTACTCAATGTCCGTGTTGCCTCCAAGTTGCTCTGTGCCCTCCGCCTCCATTCAACTGGGAGTTTCGGGAGGGCAGGAGAAGGGCTTAGCCCAGAGCGAGTGTCCTCCAGGGTCTCTCAACCCCCCACCTCTCACGGAAGTCTCTTCTTCCTTCTCCATCTCCCCCCCCCCCCCCCCCCGGCCCCACTACCTTAACCCTCAAAGCCTCTCCTCCTTGCCCCACGATAGGACAGCCCCAGCATCCCTGTTTACGCCCCACCCCCTCTATCCTCCACCCCGCCCCCCCCCCATACTCTCTATCCCCCCTCTCTCCTCTCTATGCTCCCCTAGGTAGGGAGAGGTCACTCGGCCTCCAACCCCACCCCCACACCAGCTTTTCCCTGGCCCATACCCGATGCAGCTGCTTCTAGAGGATCCGCTGCTGGAGGGGACATCTGCGGGACACTTCTGGGCCCACCCAGAAAGTGCTCCGGTTGGAAACCGACGCCCTCAGGAGCAAGATTCCGGGGCTTCTTTGGGCTTAGAGATCAAGGTTTGGCCTGCCCCACCCTCCACCTCACAGCAGAGGAAACTGAGGCCCCACTAGACTGGAAGTTCCCAGAGGGAAGGGGCTGCCTCACTTTTATGTACTACTGCCTGATTTATAGTGACATTTACTAAAGGCTTATTTGATGAATTAGTGAATACATGAATGAATGAACTGACACCCACAGTCACACAGGTAGAATATGACAGCTGAGATTTAAGCCTGGTTCTCAGAGCTCAAGGGAACCCCCAACCACGTCTTGTCCAACGCTTACAGCAAAGAAGCCTCCATGACCACATTCCCACAAATGCACCTCAGAGAGGAGGGGGAGCCAAGGCATCCCACCCCGATTTAGAGCAGCAGCTCCCATGGCATCCAGCACCTGTGGCTCCTGGTTCTGTCCCATATGACCAGGGAGAACCATAGAACATCACCATGGATCATCAGGGCTCAACTGATTCTTCTCCACATTAGAATGTGGAAAGCCAACAGTATTGGCAAGCCAGGCTAGCTGAAGCAGCAGGGCACCCTAAGGGAGAGACAGGAAGCGGTATGTGCCAGGCAAGTCAAACCCCTACTACCACCTCGACAACCATCTCCCCTCAGACCTCGATGGGGATAGCCCGGGACCCTGAGCCCAACAGTCTGGGAAGGAGCGATTCCCAAACTGCAAGACAGGCTTCCAACAGGAAGGAAACCACCTTCCTCATCACCACAAGCAACAACTACTACCACCAGCAGTCATGTGGGCACAGGAGTCCTGGGCATAGCGGTATCCTTTATCCCATTGCTCTTCTTTCCAGCCAAGCCCTCACATCATGAAAGCAATTCTCATGGTGAAGGGGCCAGCCATCTCCAGCAACTGGCAAATACAAGGCAGGCAAGCCCTGGGCTTGGTCATTCATCATTGTCCAAGGATCTCGCAGTGAGATGACCAACAGGTAAGCTGATGGGATTTTATTAGTGGAAATGACTGTAAAGAAGAAACACGATCATCTGCTTTGCTGGTGCCCTTTAAAGACCAGGAGATTTTCCATCCATCTTGCACGTTGGCTCTCCAATTAAAATGGGAGCTATCCACCGTCAAGAGTGAAGACTGTGACTATGTTTTCATTTTGTATTTCCAGTGCCTAGCACAGTGATTTGCACATAGTAAGGGCAATTCCCTCATTCAATCACTTCATCAATTGTAGACTTTAGACTAAGTGCAAAAGCCCTTGGAATTTCCAATGTTCCGAGGGAATCATCTTTGGATTGGCTTAAACTTGGCCATGCCTTAGGAGTCCTCTGTAACATATCCAGGTAGTTTATAACTGTAGCTATTCTAGAGACTGGATGGAGTTTAATGTGAGAGAAGAAGAGGCCACAGTATTGGGCTCTGATACCCAATGACTTCAGTGCAAAGAGAACAAGTGAAAATGGTGGGAAAAATGATCAGAAATAATGAACAAAGAATTGTAAACTCTAAAGAAGTATCTCAACTACTTGTCATGAATGTTTTTAAAAAGAAAAGCCTAAGAAGGCACTGTGGCTCCTGGTTCTGACCCACACTGCCAGGGAGAACCATAGTTCAAATGTTACCATGGAAAATGAGCTTTGAGATCAGAAAGCCCAGCCGATCCTTCTCCATATTAGGAGATGAAGCCAGGTGGTGGTGGTTGTCCTTCCTCGAAGAGGACCAGAATTATATCACTATACTGGGATCAAGGTACAGCACTTCTGGCTGTGGCAGATCAGACCAACGTGAACCCAGAATGCTCTACCACAGGTCAGGCACAAACAGTCCACATGAACATTTGGAGTAGAGATGCTTCTGAATGTGTGAATCTCACATTTCTTTTGAGCTCCTACAATTCTGCTGTGCCCGTAGAGCACAGAGCTTTCTTTGAAGTGGGCAAACCATGCTAAGTGGTCCTGTGCCAGCATCTCCCATGTCTCACAATTGATTCCAAAGTTCTTCAGAGAGACCTTGAGAGTGCTCCTTCTGACCTCTGTGTGAGCCCTTGCCTTGCGTGAGCTCTCCATAAAATAGTCTTTTAGGCAAACGTCTGTTTGGCATTCTAACTCAGCCAGCCCATCAGAGTTGGGCCAGATTAGCCATGTGAAATCACAAAACCAGAAGGAATAAAAATGATCGTCGGTATCTACTATGTATACTTATATACCAACAAAATGAGGTAACACATAAAACAATCCATTGCCTAAAAAATATAAAATACTTAAGTTTTGAATTCTGGGCAGTTTCCAACTTTATAGAGAAGCTTAGCTGATGCAGATCAATTACAAATCAATCACCATGACAAAGACCAAAAGAGCCTAAAAAGCAGCTTAGTTAAACAATATTTTTTGACTCATCTGGTAAACACAAAAGCCAAAGGCAACACTGATTTAGACTATACATTTTAAATAAAATTTTACATTTTGTATATTTAATATTTATTATGTATTTGTTGCATAAATCATATAAAATTTTTTATAAGATTTAAAGATCTTACTGCAGTGGAAGATGATTAGAAGTGGTATTCCCTCATAATGACAGTTAGGTGTCGATGCAGTGGATAGAGCACCAGGCCTGGAGTCAGGAAGACTCATCCCACCAAGTTCAAATCCAGCCTCAGACACTACTACCTGTGTATCCCTAGGCAAGTCACTTCACCCTATTTGCCTCAGTTTCCTCATCTGTAAAATGAGCTGGAGAAAGAAATGGTAAACCACTCCAGTATCTTAGCCAAGAAAACCCCAAGCAGGGTCACAAAGAGTCAGATATGACTGAAACAATTAAACAACAAATTGCTTCATTAAAAGGGAGGGAACTTTTGGGTGGAACATGAAGTATGTAAAGGGGAGTGGTGACAAATAAGAATGAAAAGGTCATCCAGAGCCAAACTGTAAAGACCTGTAAGGTAAATTAGTTTTTAAAAAGCTAGTCGGGGCAGCTAGGTGGTGCAGTGGATAGAGCACCGGTCCTGAAGTCAGGAGGACAGGAGTTCAAATCCGGCCTCACACCAAACACTTGACACTTACTAGCTGTGTGACCCTGGGCAAGTCACTTAACCCCAATTGCCTAAAAAAATTAAAAAAAAAAACCAATGTGCCTAGAGCCATGCTAAGCAATGACGATACAAAGATAAAAAAGAAACAACTCCTACCCTCAAGGAGTTTCCATTCTAAGAGAAGGGATAGGGAACTTGTGCCCAGAGTATACACTGTATACACCGTGCACACAGGACAGTGCTGTCTGGGGGTGGACAGCACCAGCAGCTGGGTTTCAGTAGGCAAAGCTTCATGCATGAGATGAATTGTGAAAGAAACCAGGCATTCCAAGAGGCAGAAGGAGCACGTTTCCAGCATTAAGTACTGAAGATGCAAAGACAGGCAAAAGATAGTCTCTGCTCTCAAGGAACTCAAAGTTTAATGAGGGAGATAACATGTGAACAACCATGTAAAAGATAAATTGGAGATAATCTCAGAGAAGGCACTAGAATTAAGGGGGATGGTCAATGACTTCTTGTAGAAGGTGGAATTTTAGCTGGGACTTGAAGGAGGCAGAGATCAAACTCATTGCTCGCCCACCACCACCACCACATGCACAGCAAATCGGGGCCAGAAGCAAACAGATGAATAGAACAGGCTGAATCGTCTCTGGGACACTGCAAAAGTCTTTGAAACCCCAAATTTCCCCCTAAAACAAAAGCTCGTTCTTTCTCTCTCCTCTCTCTCCCTCTCCCTCTCTCTCTCTCTCTCTCTCTCTCTCTCTCTCTCTTCTCTCTCTCTCTCTCTCTCTCTCTCTCACACACACACACACACACACACATGCATGTGCCCATCCTTTTTTTTTTTTTTTTTGGCTAGGCAGTGGGGTTAAGTGACTTGCCCAGGGTCACACAGCTGGTAAGTGTCAAGTGTCTGAGGCTGGATTTGAAGTCAGGTCCTCCTGACTCTAGGGCCAGGGCTCTATCTTGCATGCCCATTCTTAAAAGAGCAGTATTCCATCAATGTTGTTGTACAGATGAGCAAGTCATGGAAAATCTCCAAAAAAATAAAGATTATCCCACAGAAAGCAGTGGTGACATGCATTTTGGTCAGGAGTGGGCTGCAGCACATGACAGACAAGGAAGTATGGCAAAAACAAGTGGAGGATCTCATTCATGATTGGGAAAGACCACAAACTGGCCATGTGACTAGAGGGGGTGATCAATGAATTGCCCAGATGTTCCATTAATCTCCTTGAGATGATGAGTGAGTGGAAGTAAAGACAATTGCCCAGCGCACTGGGCGGACTCTTGCTAATATCTTTAGGAAGGAAGTGGACGAAAGAGCTCCACGGAGTGAGCAGGCTTAGATAGGCCAGGGGCAGCATTACTGGAGAGCACAGCCATGTGGACAAGGTTGTGGATCCATTGGACAACGAGTTGAATGGAAGACATGCTGGAGAGTGAGGAGACTGGAAGCCATAGGCCAGGAAAGCGGTAATGAGGGCTTCAAGGTGAAGGCGTGAGTACAGAAGGGGATGTTGTGCAGTAGCTACTTGGGAGGGGGAGTCACCGGAAGGATGGTGATACCCTCAACAGAAATGAGGAAGTTAGGAAAAGAAAGTGGGTGGGTTGAGTGAGGTGACCTTTCGACACCTCTGTGTCTCAGACCCCTCTGCATAGGTGTTTAGCATGGCGCTTAGTATTTAGTAAATATATGTTGATCAATGTGATGGTTTCTCACCCAAGGCCCTCCATTTCCTGTCTGTGCTGGAAATTTGCTTCCTCCTCAGTTTCTCCTCTTAGAATCCCCAACTTCCTTGAAGACACAGCATAAACCCCATACCTTTCCTGATTCCCATTTACCCCCACACACACTTATTACCTCACATTTATTCTACACACATTACTTATGCACACATTGACTATCCGGATAGGTGGTAAACTCCTTGAAAGCAGGAATGTCTTTGGGTGGGTGGCTGGGGAGAGCCCCATCTAGCACAGCAACTGACCCATAGTGAACCATTGATAAATTTTGACTGATAAGGGAAGAGGAAAACAGAATCAAGTGAAGGCTTCTAAGGATGGGGAGACCTGGGCATGTTTGTAGGCAGCTTAAAAGGAGACAAGCAGATAACAAGACGGGACAATTGAAAGGACAAGCTCTCAGAGATGGGAGGGGAGAGCTTGACTTCCCTCCTCCACAAAGCAGACAAGGGAGCAAGATGTAAAGGAGTCCAATACCGAATGAGGAATAGGAAGAGAGGTTTGGAGACAGCCCCCATGGGGACAGTAATAGGAGTCCATCAGGGAAGAACACCAGGGTCACCAGGTAGTAGTGAGGGGCCAGCGTATGAATTTATACTGGAACTATCTCCATGTAATCAAATGCTTCCTAAGCCGTGTGCTAGGGGCTGGGGATATAGGCTCAAGTGAGGCACATTCTCTGCCAGAAAGCTTACAGGCCATGGCCAGCAACAGGCGAGAGCGCGCAGAAGAGGACGGTTTGGGGTTTGATGAGGCATGAAGGGCAGCCAGACAGCAGGTCAGGGCTTCAAGGACAGAGGGAGGTGTGCAGTCAGAAGTGCTGATAGTGGTTTCCATACCACAGCAGGAGACAAGGGGGTTGGGGGGAAGCAGGGCCAAAGGGCTGGGAGACCAAGAACAGGAAACACCTTGACAGAAAGTCCTCAGCTGCCACGGAGATCATCTAGTGAAGGCCAAGCCCTCCACTTTGCTGAAGAGGAATCTGAAGCCCAGACTAGGACAGGGACTTGATGGGTACCCCATCAATCTCAAGATTATCCAATCCAATTTCTTTATTTTTACAGAAGGGAAAACTAAGGCCCAGGGCAGGCGAGGGACTTGGCCAAGATCACACAAAAGACAGATGCTAGGCTTAGATTAGATTCAAAGAGCCCCTGGGGTGCCCAGTGCCAGGAAGGAATCACAATCAATTCAACAAGTCTTTATTCAGCACCTATGGTGTGCCAGGCACAGTGGGGGTGGGGCAGAGGGATATACAGAGGCATAAGGCCCCAGTAACAAATGGTTCCTCCATGTAGTTGGTCTGTCCTTTCACAGTACCTCCTGTCTGTCTCTTTACCTTCACAGTATTGGGGAGAGACAGGGAGGGCTGCTATCGGGTGCCCCCATTTTCCAGAGGAAGAGCGGTGAGGCCCAGGGCCAAGCACTACCTCGTGCAAAGTCACAGGACAAGAGAGTGGCGGAGCCCCATTAGACCTCTTGAGGTTCCGAGTCTGGGGTGGATGGAGGGAGCCGTGTGATAGATCTGAGCCATCACTCTCCATCTCATCAGGGTCAGTGAGGTGGGGCTTTCTGCTTTAGTGTCCACGAATGTGCTGAGCCAGCTCTCGGGCATCCAGAAAGCGGCGTGGGCAGAGGGGACAAGCGTGGGCACGGCTGCCTCTGGTGCGGTGGGTGAGCCGGTGCTGGCACAGGCTGCTGGACCGTTTGAAGGTCTTGGCACATACCCCACAGACATAGGGTCGCAGGTCCGAGTGTGAGATTCCATGCCGCTTCAAGTAAAGGGGGCTCTTAAAGACCTGGAAGCATTCTGGGCAGCGATAGCCCTGGGCTGGGGCCCCCATTCCCCCTGCTGCCTCCCCTTGGGGGGCCTCCAGCTCCCTCTGGGGCTGCTCTTCATCCAGACGAACTGTATACATATATGGGACACCATTGCTGTCAATCAGCAAGTGGCGGCCTAGCCGTGGGGGTGGCTGGGGAGCCAGGGGTCCCGGGGAGGAGGGGGAGACCGGGCACCTCTCTGGTGAGGGAGGTGCCCGAGGCAGACAGGGCTCCATGGTGTCCCAGGAGGAGAGGTTCACAGCCAGAGGACAGGAGGTGCAGCTGGAGACTGCAGGAAAGGTGGGGGAGAAACTCAGGCTGTCTGTCCCCCAGAAACTCCCTGCACACCTCTTGTGCTGAGCCTTCCCCTCCACTCCCCTGCAGGGCCTCCTCAGCCCTGGCTCTGTCCCGCTGCCCTCGATGTCTCTGCACGCCCTCCCCCCTGCCAAGGTTGCCCAAAGCCCCCCCCCCTCCCTCCGCTGTTCAAGTCTGTCCTCCATCTCCCTGGTCCGCCCTCGGAAGCCCCCTACCCCCGGTTCTGCGGCCGGGGCCTGGTCCTCGGATGGGAATCTCATTTTCTCTCCCCGGGGGTCTCCATACCCATGAGGAACTGTGCACCCCCTTCCTCTTGCAGCACCCCCCAACTCATAGCTGTGACCGCGGGCCGGGGGCCCCGGGGTGCAGGGCCCAGGGCTGGCCGGGCCGGGGAGCGGACGTTCCCACGCCTTTACTTCTCCCAAGCTCGTGGGGTCCCCCTGCAGCAGCATCCACGGATCTCTGCGGTCCGCATGGAGGGGGGGGGCTGGTGACGCGGTCATCTCGTAGGTGCTCTATAAATGCTCATTGTCTTTACGCCACCCCTCCTTCCCGCCCCTCCCAGGGCCGTCCTGACCCTACCTCCCCTCTCCGCCCACCCTCCGAGGCCGCCCACCCCCCCGCGTGCACGCCCACAGACACGATCACAATCCCCCGCGCCAACTCACACGTGCACACGCCCCAGGGGCGCCCCAGCACCCGCGCGTGCACGCCCTCGCTCGCCCCCGCACCGCATCACGAGGCGCAGGCGCAGCCAGGACTCCCGAGCCTCTCCCGCCCTCCGAGTCTTCCCCCCTCCCCCCAGCCTCACCCCCACCCCGCTCTGTACTCGGAGGCTTAGGGGAGGGACACGCTGCGCGCTCCCCGAAAAAGGCTCGGGCTGAAAACAAGGCTCCTAGAGGCGGAGGTCCGCGCGGGTTCGGGCCCCCGCCCCGCGCAAAGTGGAGGGGGGAAGGCCAGGAAGGCCACGGCCTGGGAGGGCTCCCCTCCCCCTCCTCGTCCCATTCTCTGCACGGGGAGCCAGGATGGTGCCCACTTGCCAAGAGGCCCCAACCCCGAGGGTGATCCCCTATTCACGCCGAAGGCTGGGCCAAAGGGTGCTTGGAGATCCTCACCCTAAGGCCATCGCTCTACCCCCGGGGAGACCGAGGCCAAGGGACAGGCGGGGGCACCAGATGGAGGGGCATCTACGGGAGGTGGAGGCAGGAAGGGGCCGCCGGAGGGGCGCCACGGGGCACAGAGTCAGGGAGACCTGAGTTCAAATGCGCCCCTGGGCAAGTCACTGAACTTCCTCCGCTGTAAAAAGGGGCTGACAGCCCCTCCCTCCCTGCCACGGCTGTTGTGGGGTCCCGGTACTCAGGCAGAGAGACCCCACAGCGGCCGTCCCAGCCATTCTCTGGCTTCGCTCTCTCCTCGCAGGGCCTCCCCTCCCCCGGCCTCGCTTTTCCCGTCTCTCCCACGTCTCAGTCCTTCCCTGCCTCCCGCAGCCCCTGGTCTCCGCTGCCCCCGGGCCCCAGCCGGGCGTGACTTCCCAGGACCCTGCGCTCCCGGGGTTGCTTTTCCATCAGTGCTTGCTTCTTCCTCGTTCACACTTCCATCCCTCCCATTTCCCCAGACTTACGTGTCTCCACCCTCTCCCTGGGCTCTTTCTGTCCGCCTCTCCCCTGTACTTTGTCACAGTTCTAGCCGAGGCCTCTATCTCCTCACCTCCCAGCGCTCTGCTTGGGCCCCTTCCCCTTTATTTTACTTCTTTCTGTCCGTCCCTAAGAATCATTTCTCCTCGTTACCATCAACGCGTCCAGACCGACCTTGTTCAGCTTCTCCCCTTCTTGCTCTCCCCAGCACTGCCTAGAACCCAGCCACCCTCCAAAAGGCCTCGCCCCCCTCCCTTCTCCATTCCGGCCTCATCTGGGACCCTCGACCCTCCAGCCTGCAGCCCCCACAGAGGCTCCTCCTTCCCCGACCTTCCTCAAATCTGTGCCCGGCTCATGTTCTCTGGCACCCCACGGGGAGGCTCCATTGCGTGCCCACTTCACGTGCATGTCAATTACAGCTGCACGCCCACCCACAGATCTACAAGTACAGAATTAACGCGTGATTACACAGACAAAAGCGCACAGGGGCGCACAATTGCACACAGTTAACACGCCCACGTGCACGCACTTCTGGGATCCACAGCCCTCACACCCACCCCTCTAGTGTCTCGGCCCCTCCAGGCTCCAGTATGGGGGGGGGAGGGCTTCATATCAGATCCTAGGGGGCCGTGTTGGGCAGAGACCCACCCCCTTTCTGTCCCCAGTAACTGGTGCCCACAGTGGGGGAGGGGAGAGGGAGAGGAGAAGAAAAGCCGCTTGGCCTGACAGGGACTTACTTCCTCTACTTCTCAAGTCACCACCCTCGTGCTAGTCTCCCGAAAGGGAAACTGAGGCCTACATTGGGTCCTGGGTCGTCTCACAACACCCCTCCCCCCAACTTCAATGTCCAGGATCTGCTGCGGATCCACAGAGGCCGAGCTGGAAGGTGCTTAGATATCCCTGAGTCTCACTTTACAGCTAGAGAAACTGAGACCGGGGGGGGGTGGCCATGGGACACACCTGAGATCGCAAAAACAACTTCTTGCAGCCCGGCCCCGGCAGCAGGTGGCGGGCCACCAGAGATCGGTGAAGAGGTCGCCAGGCGGCGACACAGTACACCCTAATAACACGTGCCCTCTGGAGGCAAGCTCCCCTTCGGTCCTCCCACTCGGGGGGCGGGGTCTCTGGCCCGCCGCCATGCCGCAGACCCTCTAGCCCGCTGCCATGGCGCTGACTCTGTGGTCCTCGTGGCCCCTCCTGGCCACGCAGGGCCTGATCGCTCTAGCCCGCACCTCCAGGGGGCTCTCTATGGTTGGATGGGGAGGTGGGTGGGGAATCGGGGGGATCCTTTCTAGCCCGCCTCCGCCTCCTCTCGATGTTCCTCCTCTAGGTCCCTCTATCCCGAGCCTCCACAGCTGCACTCAGTGCATCCCCCTCTTTGGTCCGGGTGAGGACACAGGCGCGCCGGGCCCCCCTGCGGGGGTCTGCCATGAAGGATCCGGCCGGAAACTCGACCCCGACTCTGATCCGTGCCCAGGGTCCTTGGGTCCCCTCCCTGACCTTTGTGCAGCAACCTAGTAGTTGGCCCGTGATGTTCACAAAGCGATTTCCTCTATCATCCAGCCCATTTTCTACATATGGAACCTGAGGCTCGGACCCGAACCAACCAGTGTGGTCTAATGCTTCAGGTGGTGAGGGCTGGGCCTGGTTCCATGGCAGGCGTTTGCAGAGGGAGCCACAGCAGGATTTAGCATTGGAAGGCCATCTTCCCATTTCACAAACAGGGGAAACTGAGGCCCCAAGAAGGCAAGGCACACATAATTTGGTGCCTCTTGCCCCCACACCATCTGCACTCTTTCTTTGGCCCTTGCATGGACACTGCTGACCACCCACTCACTGCCCATGAACCCCTACGGCCAGTCAGTTGTCCAGCATCTTGGAAAAGGACACGTGGAGTCACCCAGGCTGCTGGCCCAGGACTTGAAAGCACATCTGGCCTCAGGGCCAAACCTCTGAGTCTTGAGTCAGAGGATATGTGTGATCCCTGCAGTCACTGGGGGGCAGCAGGCACCTTACAAGAGGCAGCCATGTTCCCCAGACCTGGCGTCCTCCTCCCCCTGCCCGCCCTCTTGTCTTTCTCCAGCTGTACCCCATGAGTGCCCCAGATGAGCAGGGAGCAGCCCCACCTCAAGGATCAGGGTGCCAAGGAGGAGGGTGCAGGAGCCCTTCAAGGAGGAGACTAGGGGCTGGGATGTCAGAACTCTAGAATGTCAATCACGAGCAAGCATTTATTAAGAGCCCACTATGCTGTGTGTGAGGCACTGGGTTGGACAAAATGGTCCTTGCTGGAACTTCCATTCTATGAGGAAAGCAAGATCGATACTTACTAGTAAATAGAAAATAAAAACCAGGTAATTTGGGGAGGGGAGGGGCAAGGTAAGACAAATAGCTGCTGGTGGGGATGGGGCTTCAGGAAAGGCCTCATACAAAGGGTGGTGCTCGAGGTGAAACTTGAAGTGAGCAAGAGCTTCGGAGCAGTGCAGGTGAGGAGGGAACCAGGTCCTGTCTTGCTCTGTTGGGAGGCTTTCTGCAGGCCCTATGTGTGTGCCCAGAGGAGCCTATGCCAGCCCGGCCACCTCGGAGCCCCAGCCTGGGGCAGGGAAAGCTCAGGACAGTTCTGATCCTGTTGTCCTCTACCTAATGTTGCCCTCCCAGCTTTCCATGGGGCACTCTCAGGTCACTGGTTTACTGTGTCCACTGCTGCACCACAGGCTGTGCTTAGAGTCGGCCAGGGCCAGATCATCTCTGGCTGAGATCAGTTGGGTAGCTGAGAAATTATCTAGTCTAACCATCTCATTTTAAAGATGAGGAAATTGAGGCCCAGAGAAGCGACAGTTTAAAGACCTTATGTTTGTAAAAAGATGGGTTTGGGGGTAGCCTGTCTTACAGACCACACTCAACACTGTGTCCTCACCCAAAAGTTGCTAGTTTGACACATCACCTTCACTGCCCTTTCTTTCTATCCTGGTATTTTGTGCATATGAACTTCTATATCACCAGGTAAAACTGTTCAGATTATTTGTTTAAATCTATGATCTTAATAAAAAGTCGATATAAAAAGAGAGGCAGTTAGGTGGTGCAGTAGATAGACCACAGGCCCTAGAGTCAGGAGGATCTGAGTTCCAACCTGGCCTGAGACACCTACTAGCTGTGTGACCTGGGCAAATCACTTACTCCCGATGGCCTTTAAAAAAAATTGCAAGGTGCACTGGGACAAGGTTAGGATTAGTCCAGGCTTCCTGATGCCTGGTTACTTCCTCTAAAGAACTCGTTGCTGGAGGTACAAAGCGAGAAGGGATAAAATGAGGGATCTGAGGCTTGATGGACACACTTGTGACCCTCTAGAACTCTCCACTGTCTTCCACTTGTGGGCCTCCATACCCATTAATTGTTCTGTCTATTCTCCTTCCCTCCCATACCCAGCCATCCACTATGATACTTATCCTCATTTTAGTCCCTATCCTATATTTCTTTATCTTCACCCTGATCACCCCAGATTGCCAGCTTAGAGCTAGAGGTTCATAACCCAGTGCTTACATGTATCAGCTAGGTAGAGTTGGGCAATTGAACAACCTCGAGGTGGTATAATGGATATATTCCTGGACTTGGATCAGAAACTAGCTGATGGGAGAGTCAACCTCTTTTAGCCTTGGTTTTCTTATTTGTAAAATGAGGGCAATAATAGCCTCTGCCTTGTAGAATTGTTATGAGTTAAGTTAGACAATAGATGCGAAGTGCTTTGCAAACCATGTATTATAGAAATGAGAGCTACAACGATGATGATGAGGATGACGTTTTCATTAGCAAAATGGGAAGAATAAAACTTGCACTACCTATCTCCCAAGGTTGTGAAGAAAGAACTTTTTCATTCCTCTGGTCCTGGTGGACACTGAAATACCCTCTTACCATTTCTTCACCTATCTGGGGATTTCAGCTCCCTGTTGACCACATTTATTCTACCTTTCAAAGGAAGATTAAGTCAGAGTTGAGAAATTATGCTTTCTCTATATTATCCATTAGGAAGTGAACAACTGGTTCCTTGGGATCTAGTTTAAATATAGTCCAGCCCTGGCCAACAGCCTAATGTAGGTTGCTAAGAATGCATTTGCTGGTAGAATGGCCATTGTAATCAAAAGGGCTTCAAGTGAAAGACCCCAAGGAAGGAAAAAATACCTTTAAAGTGCATCTACCAAATGAGACACAATAGCTATGAAGGAACCAGCAAATTTTTTTTGTTTTGAACCCATCTTATCTTCTGGTTGGTCTGTGGGGAAAACACATTGATAGGGGCTTGTGAGCTATGGTTTTGAGTACTGACTAGCCCACAGCTTGCTTTAAAGCTAAGAAAGTTTTTCAGGGGGCCCATCCGTATGGGTGCTGATTGGAGGGGGTGGAAGGAGAAAGGTACTACACTATAGGTTGTATCCAGGATCTCTCTGGCATTGCAGGAATCCACTGTTCCTTCTTTCCTTTTTAAAACGACACATCTACTTTTTCTTTACCCTAACTGTAGGCTTTGCCAAGGTGACTTTTACTAACCCAGACCAGATGGCATACAGCATATCTGAAGACTGGAGAGCATTCAGATATTTTGCCATAATGTATACTGTTGCTCATAAAGTACCTTGAAGGGTTGCCGTGTATTAACATTGTTCCGTCGTATGGGTACATTGTGATTGAGAACAGGAGAGAGCAGCTGCCCTAATTATGCAGGTGCCGGAAGACTGGTTTTCTCGCCTGGGCGCCAACAACTATTCATCATGGGTGAGAAAGTTGGAGGCTTTCCCAGTGAGAGGAGTGACTGAAGTGGAAGTGAGGAACAGTACTTGGAGCAGCTTCCCTCTCGATGATGGTGTAGGCATAATAGCATCGCCCTTCACCCAGACAGATGCGTCAGTGAGAATCGAGGATGGTGTTCATAGCACCTGACGAGGGACTCTGTGTGGAAAGCTGAGGTCCTTTGCAGAGGAGCAGCCTCTTCAGCCAAATGAGGAATCTTTGGAATTGTGGCTGGGACGTGCCACTGATGGGTTACAGGGTGGCCCAAGACTGTCTGGACATGTCAGTTTGGTACCATAAGAAATACTGATGGTCTCTGCAAAGGATAAATGGACTGACAGGGACCATCTCCTGGAGCATGCTAAGAGCTGCCCTTACCAATTCTGACTGACCACGTGGAAGGTTTGGGGCCAACATCCAGTCGTGTGATGACCTGGCACTGTGAGCTTGTTGTATTTTGGGCACGATGTGATCATTTGTTCATCCTGCTGCCCCCAACAGCTTTTAACTCTGTCATTTAAAAGAAGAGAGAGTTTTGTGGCTTAGCCGATCTTCCTTCAGCTCTTCAAGTGGTATCAAGTGGCCTTCTTGGACTCCTCTCATCTCCCCAAGATCTTGCTGCTTATCCACTGTCTCTCTATGATCCTGCCAGTCTATCTCACTTTCCCTTCAGGGCAGCTAGGCGTTGTAGTAGAGAGGAAACTGGGTTTAGAGTCAAGAAGATAGGAGTTCAAACCCAGCCTCAGGCACTTCCTAGGTGTGTGGCCCTGGGCAAGTCACCTAACTTCTGTCTGCCTGAGTCTGCAACTGTAAAATGGGGATAATAAAACATACTTCCCAATTGTTGTAAGGATCAAATTAGATATTATGCATAAAGCACTTAGCTCGATACATGGTTCAGAGTAGGCTCTTCATAAATGCTCATTTCCTCCCTCTCTTCCCCCAGAACTGGTCCTCTTCAGCTTCCCAGGCTCACTCTCCATTTCTGACGTCCCCTTCCTCCCTCTTCCTCCAGTGAAACAATCTCTCAGGTCCAGGATCACTCCAGTCAAGGCAAGGGATAGGACACAGATTTCTTTGGCCCCATTCACTGCTCAAGTTCGTGTCTGTTTGAGTGGTAAAGGAGCGAGGAGTGTGTTGTGTGTGTGTGTGTGTGTGTGTGTGTGTGTGTGTGTGTGTGTGTGTCTGGGTGTTTTAGTTGCTTTTACCTATGTAGTTTATGTACGTCCACATGGGTCTGTCTAGAGACAGCTCACAGGGAAGCAAGAATAGACATGTGTAATGTCTCCTCCTCCCCGCCGCTCTCCAAAGGAGATTCAGATTCCTGCCAGGATGGGAAGCAGGAGGCTGGGGCCAGAGGCTGGCCACTCTGCTGTCCTCA